CAATCCAGTATATCTCACGTCAAGGTAAGAAATGGCTGATGCCCAAAGGAAGGTGCAAGAAACACTGCAGTAGGCAGTGGGATAATCTACTCTCCACTTTCTAATGAAGGCCTCATCATACTCTCTAAACCTTGTGTTTTAAGTGTGAAGCACAAAGTTTTATATTTCTATAAAAATTTTTTAGCATAAACTGTAACTCTGGATATTCTTGTTCACATAGATGTTCAATCCCTCTGAGTCTTGCTAATTATTTCATTTGAATATAAACTCTGCATCATGCCATCCCTCCTCCAGTAAAGGTCTGGTGAGGATATGACTTCTGCACGCAGGGATGAACAGTACTCAGTCTTTCTGGCTACTAGACATTTTCCATTGGATTTTCACAACTGTTGCGTTTTACCCAAATATTTCCCTGTGATAAAAATTGCTACTTTCTAGAAATTTAAATTACCCCTAAAGCAAAGAAAAAACTGAAAGCTTTCTGCATCACCACTAACAGTTTACTATAAAACTGCTCTTGTTCAGCCTGCTTAGGTATTTCTATTGGCACACAACAGTGCTGGAGTTTTGCCCAGAGTAACACAATCTTCTTATCCACTGGAGACAGAATTAGCCACTACCTCAGCAATCAGATACTCTGTCTTCTACTAGACTTGAACATATTTTTCACTATTTTTACTACTGCCACACCTCTGAAGCTCTATGATGTTCACACTTTATCATTTCATTTCTCTTGCCAGCACTTCTGTTTCCTCTGAGTTTATGGTTTTCACATGATTCTAGTGTTCTCTTCCAACTCTTCCTTTCAGTTGCTGCCTGCACTGACTACTTGCTTACGTTGTCATGCCAACTCCCAAGCTTAGAATCTCAACTTGAGTGCATGCCTTTTTCAAGCATAGACTTCAGTTACCAAGGTGCGTGAACAGAATACATGAGTGTGGGCAAACAGCTAAACCAGTATGGGTTTGGCACAAATTTCCAAGTATCCATTTCTGTTTCAGGAGTACTTTGTCATTCTTGCCCTAGTCCCTGTTATTCACGCCCATGCCACTGAAAATATGTAGATTAGAAGGGGACCAAATGGGGGGGAAAAAACCCATAAATCTTAGTGGTTAGCCACTGTTTTATTTTCCTCATTTAAGCAAAACTACTAAACATATCAAGTGACCTAGATAGAACTAACAAGAAATCCATAAGTGACTAGTTTACTCAGTCTCTCTGAAAGTCAGATCTTATTGAATTTGATTTACATTTTATGCGGAGTCATTCAGGATATCTGTGTATCAATTTTCCAAATACCCAAGTGAAAAATTCAAGAAAAGTACAGGAAATTAAAACTTTTAACATTTTTATACCCAGGTCACATGTAACAATTGTGCCTTGTTCCTTTTACTGTATTTAACTAAATGATATGTACTGTAGGTTCTATGAAACAGCCAGTGTTCAAGATAAACAATATTTTGAATAGCTTTAATATAACTGATAGCCACATTCGCAGATTAGTTCCATAATGGAACTAATGGAATCACCATTTATAAAAAAATGGTTAAAAACTGTTAAGTGGAAGAAACATGGAAATTTCATCTCAGATTCTCTGTAGCTCACTGGCGATTTCTATAGGAGAGCATGCGCTGGATTTCATAGGATCCACCTGCATTAAAGAAATGCAACTGTATTGAACTTTAGTATTTCATGCACAGATCTTTGAAGATGGCTATTCACTTTCATCACAGCATATTTCAAGCACGAAGTTTTAAAGCAATGCATTACAGTTCAAGGTTGAAACAGTGCTTAATAGGGTGACTTATTCTTTTGAGAAAAATACATTAGAGAATAAAATAAGCTGATTCAGCCTTTTCATAGTGGGTTATTAGGAGTTCCCTTTTCCTCTAGTATATCAGACTAGTAGTCCTAGAATCATAGAAGATTAGGGTTGGAAGAGACCTCAGGAGGACATCTAGTCTAACTCCCTGCTCAAAGCAGGACCAACACCAACTAAATCACCCCAGCTAGGGCTTTGTCAAGCTGGGCCTTAAAAACCTCTATGGATGGAGATTCCACCACCTCCCTAGGTAACCCATTCCAGTGCTTCACCATTCTCCTAGTGAAATAGTGTTTCCTAATATCAAACCTAGACCACCCCCACTGCACCTTGAGACCATTGCTCCTTGTTCTGTCATCTGCCACCACTGAGAACAGCTGAGCTCCATCCTCTTTGGAACCCCCCTTCAGGTATTTGAAGGCTGCTATCAAATCCCCCGCCCCCCACTCTTCTCTTCTGCAGACTAAACAAGCCCAGTTCCCTCAGCCTCTCCTTGTAAGTCATGTGCCCCAGCCCCCTAATAATTTATTTTGCCCGCCACTGGACACTCTCCAATTTGTCCACATCCTTTCTGTAGTGGGGGGCCCAAAACTGTACGCAATATTCCAGATGTGGCCTCACCAGAGCCAAATAGAGGGGAATAATCACTTCCCTTGATCTGCTGGCAATGCTCCTACTAATGCAGCCCAATATGCCATTAGCCTTCTTGGCAACAAGGGCACACTGCTGACTCATATCCAGCTTCTCATCCACTGTAATCCCCAGGTCCTTTTCTGCAGAACTGCTGCTTAGCCAGTCAGTCCCCAGCCTGTAGCGGTGCATAGGATTCTTCCGTCCTAAGTGCAGGACTCTGCACTTGTCCTTGTTGAACCTCATCAGATTTCTTTTGGCCCAATCCTCCAATTTGTCTGGGTCTAGGTCATTCTGGACCCTATCCCTACCCTCCAGCGTATCTACCTCCCCCCTTAGCGTCATCTGCGAACTTGCTGAGGGTGCAATCCATCCCATCATCCAGATCATTAATAAAGATGTTGAACAAAACTGGCCCCAGGACTGACCCCTGGGGTACTCTGCTTGGTACCAGCTGCCAACTAGACATCGAGCCGTTGATCACTACCTGTTCAGCCCGGCAATCTAGCCAGCTTTCTATCCGCCTTATAGTCCATTCATCCAATCCATACTTTTTTAACTTGCTGTCAAGAATACTGTGGGAGACCATATCAAAAGCTTGACTTTAGCAAAGCTTTTGACTAGTAGTCTTGCTTTAAAATAACCTGCTCTGAAATACCAGGCTTGAACTTGAAGTCAGCTTAAGTTGGTTTTCATTTCAGATTCAAAAAGACAACAGAACTGAAGATGGCTGGAGGAAAGTTTGAGCCAATGGATAGCCGTTGTGCATTATAGCTCTAAGGCCTTGGCTACACTGGCGCTGTACAGCGCTGCAACTTGCTGCGCTCAGGGGTGTGAAAACACCCCCCCCCCCCGAGACAGCGCTGTAAAGCGCCAGTGTAATCAGCGCCCGCAGCGCTGCAAGCTACTCCGCTCGGAGAGGTGGAGTACATACAGCGCTGTGAGAGCTCTCTCGCAGCGCTGGGGGCACTACACTTGCGCTTCACAGTGCTGCTGCGGCAGCGCTGCATCCCAAGTGTAGCCAAGGCCAGAGACACTGATCCTCACAAACTTGCCTGTGAACTACTTCCTAGTAAGCCAGTGTACTCTTGTCTCAGTAGTGGAGCACCTCACTTTTCAACACAATGAAATCTCCTGCTAATTGTAACCAACACCAGGACTCTGTTTCCAGAGACCTTGACCACTTAAATAAAAAACATTCCTGTACTACCAGGTTGGAGGGGTAGAAAATACACACAGGAGGAGAGAAACAAACTGCAAAATGACCAGCAGAGATTGCCTGTATCCTACATCCAACAAGTAATAGGAAACTGATACAAAAGACAGAGAGAGAAACATAACCAGCCATATCCTTCATATAAAAGCTAGGATATTTTCACCTTGTCTGCTTCTTATTGTCCTGATATTGCTTTTCATGTAACTTGCACACGATTTGCTGCAGGAAAGGTTTTGGACTGGGAGGAGATGTCTTAGATGGGCCATAATCTTAAAAAAATATTGAGACCACGGCTCTGTGAGCCTTCCTTGTTAATGCTGTTCAATCAAATGGATTTTAGTTAGAAAAGGAAAACTTATTTACTTTGGCCCTGGGGCCTCTGGATCATATGAGTGGAGATAACCAAGAGCCAGGGAATTTAAACTGGACAAAGAACATCTGCAAATGATGTTTTGTTAAAAGATGTTATCCCAAGAAGCTTCAGTGATGGTCTAAACTTCAGTCTAGGCTGCACATGCTGCATCCTCAGGGCTCATTCAGAAATCCACTGCTTTTGTTTTCACAAGCAGCAAGGTATGGACTTGCTTCTTGTTGGTCTGAGGTAAGGACTTAAGCTGTTCAGCAGTACATATCAGAGTGGTTGTATGGAAACCTTTACTGAACTAATTTCAAATGGTTGATTTAGAAGCTTGGCCAGGCCTTATCTGGCTGCATGTTGTCCCAATTTCTGTATGTTCATGGGCGGTGCGTGACTCCCACATTTGGTGAGACTGGGCGTAAGCGCTGGAAGCTCCCTAGAAGTGTAGGGGGGGCACCGGCACCCGGACCGTGACCCCACCCTCTTTTCTGTGTCAAGGCCTGCCCCCGCTCAGCCTCCTCCCCTTGAGGCCTCGCCCATGCTCCACCCCCACTCTGCCTCAGGCCCTGCTCAGCCCCCTCTCCCACCTGCGCCTCTCTGCCACCTCCCCCAAGGCCTCCCCCATCTGCGCCTTTCCCCCTATTCCCCTGAGGCCTTCCCCACCTGCTGCTCATGCCTCTTTGCCCCCCTCCAAGCCCCTCCCTCGTGCCTCTTCTCCCCATCCCCTGAGGCCCCCCCCCACCTCTAATAGAATACATTCAAAAACTGGTAATTTCACTAGTCGAGGGATTAAGTTGCCTACATTTTTCCAAATTCTAAGGATTTTCCGGGGGGGAGGGGGGAGGAGATGGGAAAGGGAGAGGGAAGCTTACGTGACTTCAGAAAGTTAGATCCATGTTGTTCTCTCACAGCATTTTACCAATGGAAAATTTTCAACAAGACAGACCAAGAACAAGGAACATTTATATCCATTTTATTACTCTCATCCTCAATTTCATGATTTTTCCATATGGCAATATTTTCACTATAGTACATTCAAAACATTTCTGAAGCATTTGGCAAGGTAGTACATTTACACTGCATTTTAAGTTTTATTTTTGAATCCATTTGTCTTCCATCCTTCTCCAGAGATAAATCTGTCAATCATGTCCAATGATCTTTCAGGTTGGTCATAAGGTAAAATATGTCCTCCACCTCGAACAATTACCTTCAGGGTGCAAAGAAAGGATAGATTAGTAGTAAATCCTGAGCAACAAAAGTCAATTTTGCCAGCAAAAATTAATTAAAACTGGGTTCTCTCAGGTACGGAGATCTTAGCGTGCATGCCGAGTCAGAAGGATGATTCTTTCACTCTAGTCAGTAAAATATAAACACACATATCCAAAGTCAAAGTCATGTGATCTTAGACCAGTTAATAATAGGATCAAATAACTAACTAAGCCGAATTGGTAATCTTTGATATTTAGACAGGCCTATCATGGATACTGTTACATCATGCTTTGATTTGGATGCTTTGAGTCTTCACAGGGAAACTAGCAGCAGCATCACCACCACATTGTCTGTGATTTAAATTGACTAGTCAAATATTCATTCTACCGGCAAATGTTTAAAAGAACAGCACAAGTTTACATTGTATGATCTAATTTTGGAATCTGAATTTATTAGGAAACTTCGGGTCTTAAAATAATAGGTGCAATATTAGAATAATTCATTTCAACCAAACAGATGATGATAGATTAGAAACTAATGTGAAAATAGTCCTCTACTTTTTGACTTCTCATTAGACATCTTTCCCCTCTTGTGTATTCCAATTTTTGCTGAAATTCAGAAGGGAGCGCATGTGTTACTTTATTCTGAATTGAATTATTCTCATATAACTGAAGTGTGAAACTGTTTACATGATTCTGTTTTTCAAAAGCATCTTACGTTTTAGTGCATTCCCAATTTTCCTGTGTTCAAATTTTAAGACATTCCTTTTTCAGTGTATGAAGCTTGTTCCAGTTCATGGAGTATTTTTTCTTGCCCTCAGCCCCTCCCTTATGATATGCTAAAAGTAAACAACTTTGACAACATCCTGAAGTTATTCCAAAGAAGATCTTTTACTGGCGCCCACAATCCCAGTCTATAGTAGTCAAACAGAAAGTAGTAATCAGGGTTAAGTCTTGGCCATTATCTGACAAAATGACTTCTGTGCAGACATAAAGCTGGACCGAGGACACCTAAACGAGTTATTTGTATGAGAAAATACAGCCGTTGAATTTAAAACATGTTTGGCAACCGGCAGCTGTTATCTGGACTACATCTCAACAGAATATATAACAGCTAAAAGTCACGGTCTCATATACGTTCCATTGTGCCCTTGACACCTCCACTGCACCACTAGTCTGGCTAGAGTTAAAAGATCTGTCAGTATATCTATTAAGCCCTTCCCTTTCAAGATCATCATCATTTAGGTATAGAAATTTGCACCATGGCTTCATAGAACCAGGACATATGGTTTGAATAAATATGCATATTAAATGTTGATTAACAATTACATTCATATTCCTTTTATCCCCAAAGGACCCTAGTGCACTTTAGAAGCCAGTTTATCAACTATACAGGGATCCACCACTGAAATACAGCAACAGCTTAATAGCACTTTGCTACCCTAAACATCAGCTCAATAAGAAGTGAAGAATACCACCCTACCCATTTGACAAAAATCCCTTTGTAGTTTCAGACGTAGGCAGAAGATAATGATCTAAATACAATTTTGGCCCATACAGCCCCCTCCTTTCAGGAGAAGAGGCACGTGTCCCTGCTTAATTTGAAAGATCTGACTGGAGCAAAGCACAAGGTGGCCTGGCTTGAAGCTTCTTAATTTCAGTGATTTGCCCATAGTGGTTTCTGAAGCAGCCACTATGGGTAAGATTTTCAAAAACTGCCTAGTGACTTAGGCTGCTAAGTATCTAAATTACTTTTGAAAACCAGATTAAGGGGCTTTTGAAAGTTTTACATTTACCTCAGACATGTACCAACCATTCATTTTTTTCAATTTTTACAAATTAAACCATAACAGCCCCCCTACAATTTCATAATATACATTAAACACAATAGCTAGTAAAGGCACAGCAACAATTATGAAGCATTAAGTAAGGTTAGCTCAGTGCAAGACTGCACACAGTTTCAGCATAATTAAATGCATTACTAAATACCAAATGTGGACTGAAAGATTCTTCAGCTTTCTACAAAGCAGTGAGGAAAGTTGTCTTTATGATCAGTCACTTTTACTGTTGCACTCTACAAGGAAAGCAGAACCCACTAGGCTAAAAACATATCAAATGTCTCACTTTTAAAGCCTGGAATGATAGCTCATCTTTAATCCAGATTCCTGTCTTAAACAAAGAACTGCAAAATCTTAAATCTCAAAACAAGAGCTGGTTCAGTAAAATGAGTAAACAGCTACATCTCCCCTCCCCCCTACTCTGCTTCTAAGAGATAAACACTGTTGGGGAAAGTAAACCAGCAGAGTTCACAGGCTTCAACTCTGACACTCTTGCAAGGAACAAACGTAACAGTAGGATGCAGGATCTCTGCTTACATTTACTGTGACCCAAACTTCCTTTTTGACCTTGGTGTTATTAGTAAGGAGGACAGTGGCTGTAGAATGTCACTACACTGTCTGGATGCAGACGTTCAGGAATTCCAGTGAGGCTGACCTCTCAAGCATGAAGGAAGTTACTCTTCAAGTCAGGCTGGACTTGAGTTTGTTTAACCATTTTACTAGTACGCATGCAATTTGTTCTGTTTACGTTTGTTAGAAGTAGTGATTTAAAAAAAAAATCCTCACTCAATTGTAGTTTTATTCCTCCATTGTACTTGGGTGACTCAATTAACAGATAACCTGAATCATGACATTTTACATCTATACTGCTATCATAGGGTATAACTGCAGCTTGAGTAGACATACCCGAGCTAGCGTGAATCGATTTAGCTTGGATATTGGAGCAGCAAAGCTGAGCGGCACATACTTACTCATGGAGCTAGCCCATGCTGAATTACCCAGGGCTCTAGGTGGGTTTGTATAGTCCATGTTGATGTGTGCACTGCTTTGGCTTCATTACTCACTGCTAGATTAAAACTAGCCTCAGGTACATCTAGTCGAGTTGCAATCACACTATGAGATTGTGTATAGGGATACCTTAAGATCCTTGAGTGGAGAGTGCAATATAGACGCAAACAGTTGCCACCTGCAGTACATATACACCCAACTTAGCACATATAAGTACAAGCATTGGTCTTCAAATTGTTCAGATTCTCTTTAAATCCAGCTACAACATTTGACTGACAACCTGCCATAGTGAATTCCAAAGGCTGACTCCCTGCTGTGTGAACTGGTGTTCCTTTTCCCTTTATATTTACTTTCCATTAAAAGTGACCCTTTTTTTATAAATGGGACAATATAAAACAAGAGACTGATCTTTTTCCTATTTACTCCCGACTCCAATACCTTGGTGAAGTCCCCTCTGATGAATCTTTCAGTCGCTCCATATCAGCACCCGACCAGATCTGACAATCTCAGTTACCCTTCTCTGGCTGGACCTTTTCAGTACCTACAGCAAAACCTTGTTCCAGTAACGGTTGGTGCATTTGATTTGTTGGGGGTTACAGAGCAGACCTCATGGGAGGGACAAGCACTTGAGGGCTTAGGATGGGGATCGGGGGTACAAGGAAGGAGCCAACTAGTGTACTTTGCTCAGTTAAGGAATGGGTACCGCATCACAGTTCCTTGGGTTAGTGGCTTCCAGAAGTCAAGGAATCACTGGCTGAACCTTGTAACTTTTTGGGGGACGTGGGAGAGAGCCATTTCCAAAGTCGTCCTTACAGTCACCACTGGAAGTAATTCCAGGGCTCAGGGAGAGTGAAGACGGTAGAATTGTTTTGAAAGAAGTTAAAAGGAAATGAGTTACCCTTTGATTTGTTTCCCAGATTTTACCAACATCTGTAGTGACAAAATTAGTATCCTGGTTATCGCTGTGATACAGAAATAAAAACTCTGTCCTCCAGAGACTCCTGTGTTAAAATGCCCCAATTGTTTTTGCTCCATTTTATTCTTTGCTGCTTTCTTTGTTGGCTAGTAGCTAGTTAAATTTAGACAAGTGGTTCTTTGTGGCTTAGTCTAGGATATCAATAAGCATGTACAATTAAGCAGTGAGGGAAGAACTGCAAAACAGATGTGAACAGACCTAGACATAATTGGGTGGGTAATCTGCAGGAAGCACCAAGCACAGAAAGCCAAATCTTTTCTTGCTTTTAGATCTCTGGCAAGGCAGCACAGTTGGCTAACAGTTGGTTTTTCAAGAAGCCCTGTGGCTTTTTGGTAATGCTCTGCAGTGTCATGCAGGAGACCAGCTGGATTCCTTATGTGGATTTATTTTTCCCTGGCTGGATTGTACTGCAGAAGCAGCATGCTGTGTGTTATCAGTATCTCAGACAGAACCTATATTGCAGGTGTGGCCAAACTGCAGCTCTTTTATAGTTAAAAAGTCACGGAGCCCCCCCCCATGCCTTCCCATTCTCTGACTACTAGACGGGGGTGAGGGGTGGGGGTAGAGCTCGGGGCTACTGCCCTGCAGTGGGGTGATAGGGCTAGGGGCTTCTCCCCTGCAGGAAAGGGATCTTGGGGCTTTAGACCAGTGCTCCCTCTCCACAGGGCAGAAGCCCCGAGACCGCGCCCCACAGGGCAGAAGCCCCGAGACCCCTCCCCATAGGGCAGAAGCTCCTAGCCCCACCACTCCACCGCAGGGCAGAAGCTGCAAGCTTCCCCTACACCCGCCAGTCTGGTAGGCAGAGAATGGGGGAGGATTTGGGGGGCTCCAGGAAATATTTCAAGAGAATTTAAGCCCTGGTGAACCCAATAGTGTGAGAATGAGACTAATAAAAAGAGAAGCTCGCACATGCGCATTACATCAGGAAATTGCATCATTCTGTATTCAGCCCTTGTGCTGTGCAGACCTCATGAGTTCGCGATCTCCCTGCGTTCCGCAGAATACAGGCTGTGTTTACTGTTCGCAAGTCACATTTGAATAGTTTTAGATTTAAGTGGTGACCCTACGTTAATTTCGTGGATGACAATGACATCTTCAAATGTAAGAAACGCAAGTGTGAAGAAGAAAACCAAAGTTTTAAGCCAGAACAGGAGGAAGATTTTGCATTCACTGCTAA